TGTTACACCTTCTGCAGTTGCAGGGGAAGGTCCCGGCAGTGAAAGAGAAGTGAACCAGGATGTCCCAGAAGGAAAAGTCCTTGCGGAAGACTGACAAGGAAGGGGAGGGGAGTATGTGCGATACCCATTTACATCTGGTCTCAGAATTAACTACCTCACTCTCCACCTCAATGAAGCATTCAAATCATATTGTGGTCATGCATCCCCAGTTGGTCTCCCACAACTGCATTACCAATTACTCCATTATGATTTGTGACTAATTCAATTCGCCCAATCTATATGCAGATTAAAGTTATCCATAACTACAGGTGTTCATTTACATATGCATCATCTGATTTCCTGTTTAATGCCATTCCCAATATCACTGCTGTAGTTTGGTGGTCAATTTACCACTTCCAGTAATTTTGTTTACCCTTTGGTATTTCTCAGTTCTACCCACACAGATTTTACATTATCTGAAGTAATATCTTCCCTCCCAATATTGTGTTTATATCTTATTTAACCAGTAATAAAACTCCACCATCATCTTTTTGTCTGTCTTTCCTATATACAGAGTACCCCTAGATGTTCAGTTCTCACCTCTCGTCATCCTGCAGCCATGTCTCTGTAATCCCAACTATATCATACCCATTTACATCTATTTGCACGATTAATTCATCCACTTCAAATGCGGTGTGTTCAGACATAAAGCTCAAGGTTTGTCTTTTTAACTTTCCTTGTCCCGTTGCCACTATTTTTTAAAAACTGTTGTTTTGTTTGACTCTAGTCTTCAATTCCTCTGCCTATCACTTCTCTTACCCCACTTTCTGCCTTTTGTTCTTGTCCTCGGATTCTCCTTACTCTGATTATTTGCATCGGTTCCCATCCCCTTGCCAATTTAGTACAAACCTTCTCAAACACACTAGCAAATATACTCCCTAAGGCATTAGATCCAGTCCGGATCCAGTGGGGGAAAATCGATTTGCCCACTCACCAATTTTGAGTCAGATGTTCTCCCAATATCTCCTATTTCTACTCTGACTAGCACATAGAATTGGTAGTAATCTTGAGATCACTATTTTTAAGAGGTCTTACTTTTCAACTTATTTCCAAACTGCCTATATACTGGTTTTAGCACCTCATCCCTTTTTCAAATCTATGTTGCTGATTCTGATGGACACCACAATAACAGGCTGTTCATTCTCCCCCCCCCCCCCCCCCCCCCCCCCGCCTTAAAAATGACCTGCAACCACTCCAAGGCATTCTGTACCCTTGCATCAGGGAGGCAACACATCATCCGACAGTCTTGTTTGTGGCCACAATAATGTCCAGTTATTTCCCTTACAATTGAATCGACTATGACTATTGCATTTCCATACTTTGTGCTCCTCCCCTGTGCAGCAGAATGAACTGCGATGCCAAGAATTTGGCTGTTGCTGTTTCCACCAACAGTCATTCCCCTCAACTGTATCCAAAGCAGTATAACTGTTTTTCTGGGGAATGGCCACAGGGGATTCTGCACTGCCTGCATAGTCCTCTTAATTTTCCCAGTGGTCACCCATTCCCTTTCTGCCTGTGGTGTGACCAGCTCTCTATATGTGCTGTCCATGATTCTCTAAGCTTCATGGATGCTCCACCATGTTCCAAGCTCCAGCTCAGAAACCTGGGCTTCCAGGAGCTGCAGCTGGTGTCACCTCCTGCAAACATGCTGGTCCCAGGCACTGGAAATGTATCTGGCTTCCCACATTGAACAGAAGCAGCAAAGCACAGCTTTGAATTCTCCAGCCATAACTTACCCCTTTAATGTAAAAAAATTTTGGAAGATGCTTAATATCAAATAATATCTATTTCTCTTGGAGTCTTTGTTCCTATTTCTTGATACCATAGAATACATCCACATAATGGTATTCAGAAGGATTTATTGTTCTTGTACACAAATAACCAAGTAACATTCAAGTGCTACAATCAATTACTAGAGCTAATGATATGTTAGCCTGTGGTAAAATACAACAGCTAAAAACAAAATCTAAAAAAAACTTTGGTGAGATTAAGCCTGGATTAATGTGTACCATTTTGGACTCCTTACTCAGGGAAACACACATATACCTTAAATGGGGTGCAACAGAGATTTACTAAATTAACTTCTGGTATGAGTGGCTGTGCTTCAAGGAGAGCAAGTAAAATGATCTTGTATTCCCTGCAGTTTAGAAGAACTGAGGCAATCTCACTGAAATTTACAAATTCAAAGAGACCTTGACAGGATAGTTTGAGAGGATGGTTCTCCAACCAGTAAATTATTAATTAAATAAAATCTGAATGACTTTCAGCATCTGCAATTCTGAAACTAAAATGGATATTGCTGGAAAAGCACAGGACTGACAGCATCTCTGGAGAGAAGTCAGAGTTAACATTTTGGGTGACCGTTTGATGCTGCCAGACCTGCTGAGCTTTTCCAACAAACTTAATTAAAGATTAGATTCAGGATAAGAATTTAAAATTGAGATTAGGAAAATTAGTTTCACTCAAAGATTTCCAAATTTTGTAATTTTATACGCCAGAGTCATGATTCATCTATATATATAAAAATCACAGTACAAGAATGAATAGATTTTTGGGAACTATGAATCAACTATCATGAGGATTAGACAATAAAGTGGAGTTGATGTAGAAGATCAGATAAGCCTCTGCCATTCGGTAAAATCCGAAGGAACAATGTGGCCTCCCATTTATTTCTTGTATTCTGACACATTACACAGGTTCAGTCCATATCGGTCCTGTGATTCAGTTCAACCCAGGTTCAGGTCCTACTCGAGCCTGAAGACTACCATCAAATTAGTGTGAATGCTTCCAACACTCCATACTGCACTATTCTCCAAAAGTAAAAAAAAGTGTGTGAAGAAACCAAAAATAAACAAGTTGACGTGGAAAAAAGTGTCATCTGGCTCCCATTCCAGCATACTGTTGTGGTGGGCACTTAGAAAAAAAAAAGTAACCAATTTTATGAACGGGAAATAGTGTTTTGTCAAAGCATAGACTTCTTTTGAGGCTGAAACTGATGGGTGGTTTGAAAACAAATATCACATGGTGGTTTATAGTGGTCTGTATCTTTGGAATAATGGCATAGCAAAATTAATAAACTCCACCTTAAGGAAAAAAAGGATTTTTTTTTTTTTTTTTTTTAAGAATGGGCTGGATTTTCCGAGAAATGATAATTTCACACTGTCATTCTAGGCCTTTTTATTTTGCGAAAGGTGGGTGCTCGGCTTTTCTGAGAGGAGATTCCACACAGGGGTCCTTCAAAATTGCAGAGCCATGCAAGCCACATCTTTTCACAGCAGTCAGCTGCTGGATTCTGAAATTTAAAAGATTTTAACTGCCACTATCAATCCATTGCTAGATAAGGCACGAGAGGTAAGGACACTGGGAGGAAGTGTTGCCTGACGGCTAAGGATCAACGCTCCCTCTAATCTAAAGGCTCAGTGGATGACAAACATTGGCACGGCTTCATGATTTGCTGTCATGCACAGAAGGGCAGGGGGAATGAAAAAGAATAGGGTGCCAGATGGGGTTGGGGTAGGGTGCCAGGTAAGTAGAGTTCCAGCTACTTAAAGGAGGTAGAGTGCCAACTGGGTGACGTGCAAGGTAACCAAGTTTGTTGACTGGTTACTCAGGAGTTAGATTATGTATTTAACAGTCTAACTTTTCCTGAGTAACTATTTAGTTAACTTCAGCAGAATTCCTTAGAAGTATCTGATTTAAAATGGAGACTTTTGAAGAAAGTTCCAAGTGTAGACAAATTGCCACCTGGAAAAGTCAATTTTCCAGACAGACAGACTTTCAGCATCTTCCACAAGACCTCAATGCAAAACTCTTATCTATACTGGCATAAGAACTATCTAGCCAGTGGAAAACCTGGGTCAATAAAGTATCCTGCAACTTTCAATTTGTTTATTGTTAATTCTGACTAATTCATCGTTACTCTTGTTTTCCTGACCTCTACCCAGAGAACAAGTTGAGAAGCATCATTCACACATCGATAAATATGTGAACTTGACCACTCTTCTTTCCCATTTTGCCAGAAACTGCAGAGGTATACATGGTTGTTTTATATTGGTAGGGGAGATGCTGGGGTTGGAGTCTAGTAATAACAAAATAAATCAAGATAAATTGCTTAATTTAGATTTTAGAACAAAGTTGTATTTGTACTAACAAAAGAAAATTTTAAAACTACTGTCAGAAGTTAATCCTTGAAATTGGCCCAAGTTTTCATTAGTGGACTCACTTTGGGGCTTACATTGTCAGAAGTTTGATGAGGAACATCTTACCTGGTGACTGCACATTCTTTTTGCTGTGCTCTGATGAGATCATTTTCATGTTAGAGAACTCATTGTGGAAACGATTCGTGTTGCTACAGGAAGGACTCATACCCACACAGTCCGGGTAGTAAGCACCAAGAAAGGGGGCTGCTGGGCTGTCCTTCAGCAGCGGGGGCACAATAAGCATGGAATACCACTTACTATCTCCAACTTCACTCACTCGCTGAAAAAAATTAATTGATATTACATGATGTGAGAAAAGTAGATAATACCCTAATATACGAATGCATTTCAGAAAACTAATGATAGAGCTCCAAACATCAATTGTTTGTAGTTTTGCAGATGATCATTTGAATTAAGTTTAGATGGTATTCATTCCACACAGCTCATTTGTTTTGTTACGAGCCGAAAACAGTTTTTACAATTAAACATGTCCAATTAAAGAAAGCTTACAAAAACAATGTAAAAAAATTGTAAGAAATGATCAAAAATAACCAAAGCTTAAAACTTGTTTCCAATTATATTTCACTAATGCTGAAAAGGCACTTAAAATAAGCAACCTAGTAGTGGTACTCATTCTCACCCTCTAACACAATTTCGGATAAAGGTATGATTTGACAATGTGCCAAAACAGCACAAAAAATTTAAATTTAAGGTTTACTTTCCAATTTTTAACAGCTGCCAGGTGAGTGAATACACTTCAGGATATGTTGCTGAACTATGCAGGCCAGTTCCTGATCCGTGCTGCGTTGCTTGAATCACAAACAAAAGAGCAGCTTTAAACAAAATATTCAGCATCCTGTAGTGGGAGAAGGATTAGACAGGGATCTGATCCTGACTTCTAATAAAACATGCATCAAATTTCAAATAAGATTCCCTTAGTCCTCCAGTTCTGCCATCACTCGCATAAAAACCAATCTCTTGAGAGAGATTTCAAGAGGTAAAAAAACCCAATGAATATGTCCAAAAGGAACACAAAACACTTCAGAAAGGTGGTAAAGAAACACCGATAAAGGCATTGTTTTTAAATCAAATATTTAAAGCGGAATTTGAAAATATATTTGGATCATATGGTTCACTTAAGCAGTACATTATAATACAGAATAAACCCTCTTAAAAATGTTAACAGGAGTAAATCATGATGAGTTAATAAACAGGAGAATTTGCAAGTATTTGCCATGTAGACATTTATAATTAACTGTACTGAAATGTTATTACACACCTCTGGAGTAGATGGGTTTTGAACCAAGGCCTCCTGATTCTGAGGTAGGCTCTTGCATCACAAGAGCCCTAGTTTTCTGCCGATATACTGTCAAAAAGCCTCACTAATTAGACTTATCGATCACTCTTGATTAATGCCTTAAAGATAGGACACACAGCATCATGTACGAGATGACATTATTAAAAATTGTATTTGATCAAAACCACTAATGTTTTGACCAAACGTAGTTTAATTCGCATCTATGCTGAGATTTATTTTCACAAGTGTATTACTGCTTGGTCTGGTTTAACATACAACGTTTCATATGGGTGGCTGGACATCCAAAATCACAAATGGAAGATCATTGGCCCGAAACATCCAGGAGGGTCAGATTCAAGTTAAGTCCCACCTGCTCCAGAAGTGTGTAATTGTATCTCTGAACAGGTTGATTAGAAAATAATCTAAGAATTAAATTTCAATTAGACAAATCTGCAATGCAGTGCTTTCTTTTCTGCATTTAACTGGATGTTTCATATACTACCCAAGGGCAAGGAAATGCAGCAAATTGTGGGGCTACACAGTATGGGCACAGAATACCCACTCAGTCTATTGGAGTGTTCATAAAAGTTGAATGAGATACTAGAATCCTCAAAATTATATTTGGCCCCAAGACGATCATCTGAGTTTAATCTGTCTTTACACCTATGCAAACGACTTGGCATCAAACCTCGCTTTATAACACGTGCAGTGTCTTGGGACACTAGTGTGTTCAACGCATTGTTTAAACAAATGACTGTTGACAGAGACACAAGCAGCCACATTCCTTAGGAAGCTGGAGGTTTGACTGGGGGGTTGGAAAGGTATTAGTATGCAAAATAAAAAAAGGATTAGCCTGTGGCCAGGTTGTATTTTCATCCCATTCTAAATACAAACACTGGAAATCTGAAATAAAATCAAAGTGCTAGAAATACTCAAGTCTGGTAGCAGCTGGAGTGAGAGCGAGAGGGCAAGATTAATGTTTCAGATCAATTGCTTTTCTTCAGAACTCAAAGCTGTAAAATGCTTGGTCAAAACGTAGGAGCGTGAGAGCAGAAGCGGGCGTGGGGCAAAGAATTAAAAACGGCAGTTGACTGTAGTACCGTAGCAGACTGAACAGAGGTAGTGCAGTGTGAAGAAGTCACCAATGTAGATAGACTGTGTCACGAGCAGCAGAAACAGTAAACTAAATTGAAAAATGTGCAAGTGAATAACTATAACACAGGAAGGTATGTGTGGGGCCTTTGGATGACTTAAAAGAAAAAAAGAGGACGTGGAGGGCAGTTGTTGCATTTTCTTTTCCCCCACTTGTGGGATATGGACATCGCTGGCTGGCCAACACTTTTTACTGCCTATCCCTAGTTGCCCTTGAGAAACTGGTGGCAAGCTGCTTCCTGAACCACTGCAACCCACATACTGTAGGTTGACCCACAATGCCCTTGAAGAAATTCCATAATTTTGACCAAGCGACTGTGAAAGAAAACAACTGTGTTTGCGTAGGAAGGTGTGGGAGTCATTAATGAATGGACCTAGGTGCCATGGAGGAAATGGTCCTTTTGGAAGGCTGAAAGAAAAAGAAAGGACAGGATATAGTCTAACGGTGGCAAATCAGAGTTGGAGAACGTGTAGAGACATGCTCAATTGAATGCAGACACTGGTATGGTGAAAAATGAGGAGAGGGTAAATTCTATTGTGTTTTTGGGAAAAGGGAGAACAGGGAAGGGGAAAAGTCGTGAAGCAGACATATCGAACAATTTAGTTGAAAGTTCTCTCAACTGTGGGAGAAGAATCCTTGGTTGAGGATAAAGGAAGACATTACACAAGGACTGACATTGAAAGAGATGCAAGAGAGACAATTAAACTGGATGAATGGAATAGTATCCCTGCACAAAGGAATCCCACCCAAGACTTTCCTCCCTTTTCCATGACACTTTGCCATACAAGCAGTGGAGATACAAAACATGTCTCCTCCCCTCTCTTCATCCAAGAAGCCAAAAAAATAAATTCCAAGTGAAACATGGAATTATTTCTACTTTCTAGTTAGTTGTATGCATTTGGTGCTCTCAATAGGGTTGCAGTTATATTGGGAAACCAGAGATTAAGTGACAGCTTTTCAGAACATCTCAGTAAAGACCACAAGAATTACACTCAGTTTCGGATAGCTTTCATTTTAATTCCCAGTAATCTCCTACCTTTGTGTCCTCTGCCTCCTACATGGTTCTGATGACTTTCAATACAAACTCAAAAGAATAGTAACTTTTCTTTCAACCAAAGTAGGTACTTTACAGTCTTCCAGATCCATCAACAATTGGACAATTCAGATCATAAAACTTTTATCCCTATTTGTTCTGTGTTTTGGAAAGTTTCTTTTTATCATGTGGTTTTAGGGCCATACCTCAAGACAGACTGACAAAAGACACAAAGTTAAAACTATCCTCAAGCTTAGACTTCTGTACATTCTATTTCATGTTAATAGTGTGAAGAACTATACGTGGTAAATCTGTTTACCAAATTCAGAGCTTATTGTTACATTGTTAATAAACTATTTGATATTTTTTAAACCAACCTGAAAATGAAGGATAGGTATGGCAAGCTACGTGAACCTTGGATGACCAGGGATGTTATGACCTTGGACAAAAAGAAAACTAAATGCAAGGTCTAGGAGGATGGGAGCTGACAAAGCCCTTGAAGTATACAAAGGAAAGTAGGAAAGAATTTAAGAAAGCAATTAGAAGGGCTAAAAGGGGTCATGAAAAATCATTAGCTAACGGGATTAAGGAGAATCCCAAGACTCTTGAAACATATAAAAAGCAAGAGGGTAGCCAGGGAAAGGGTTGTCCCACTCAAGGACAAAGGAGGGAATCCAAATGTGGAGCCAGAAAAGGTAGATGAGGTCCTAAACGTATACTTTATGTCAGTATTCACCGAAGAGAAAGAATTGACAGAGGGAGGTGTTCTCAGGGAAGGCAGCATCAAGTTTCTAAGCCAATTTGCTATTAAAAAGGAAGAGGTGTTGTGCATATTAAAAAGTATTAAGGTAGGCAAGGCCCAGGGTCCTAATGGGACCTGTCCCAGAATATTGAGGGAGACAACACAACAAATTGCTGGAGCACGGAGACATCTTTGTATCCTCCTTGGCCACATACGAGGTCCCAGAGGACTGGGGAATAGTCAATGTTGTCCCATTGTTAAAAGGAGGATAACAGGGATAATCCTGGAAATTACATGCCTGTGGAGTCTCACATCAGTGGTAGGGAAACTATTGGAAAAGATTCTCAGGGACAAGATCAATACACATTCAGAAGCGAATGGACTGATTAGCGATAGACAGCATAGTTTTGTGCTGAGGAGGTCGTACCTCATTAATTTGATCGAATTTTTTGACGAGGTGACAAAGATGGTTGATAAGGGAAAGTGATTGATGTTGTCTACAGGGATTTCAGCAAAAAGCTTTTGACAAGGTCCCTCCCTCATGGCAGACTGGTACAAAAAGGTGAAGTCACATTGTATCGGGGTGAGCTGGCAAGATAGATACAGAACTAGCTTAATCATAGAAGACAGAGGGTAGTGGTGGATGGATGCTTTTCAGAATAGAGGGTGGTGACTAGTGGTCTTCCACAGGGATCAGTGCTGGGACCTCTGCTGTTCACGATCTACACAAATGATTTGGAGGAAAATGTAGCGAGACTAACTAGTAAGTTTGCAGACAATACAAAGATTGGTGGAGTTGCAGATAGTGAGGAGGATTGTCAGGAGGATACAGTCAGATATAGATCAGTTGGAAGCATGGGCAGAAAAGTGGCAGAAGGAGTTTAATCTGGACAAATATAAAGTGATGTATTTTGGAAGGTCAAGTACAGGTAGAAGTTATAGAGCGAATGGCAGAACCCTTAGGAGTGGTGCAAAGGGATCTGGGTGTGCAGGTTCACAGATCACTGAAGGTGGTAGCGCAGACAGATAAGGTAGTAAAAGAAAAGCTTATGGCATGCTTGCCTTCATTGTAAGGGGCATTGAGAATAAAAGATAAACAAGTTACGCTGCAGCATTACAGACTTTTATTTAGGCCACATGTGGAATATTGCATACAGTTCTGTTCAGCCCATTACCAGAAGGATGTGGATGTTTTGGATGTTGCCTGGTAAAGGGAATTGTAGATATGTAGAAAGGTTGGATAGACTGGGTTTGTTCTCACTGGAATGCAGGTCTCTCAATCTGATAGAAATTTCTAAGATTGTGAATGGCATAGATAGAGTGGAACGTAGGAAAATTTTTACCCGAGTGGAAGGGTCAATTACTAGGGGATACAGGTTCAAGGTGCAAGAGGGAAAGTTTAAAAGAGATGTGCAAGGCAGGTTTTTCACACAAAAGGGAGGTGAGTGCTTGGAACGTGTTGCCAGAGGTGGTGGTGGAAGCAAACACAATAGCAGCATTCAAAACACACATGGACGAATACATGAATAGCAAGGGAATAGAGGGGTACGGATCCTGTAAGCAAAGACAGTTTTAGTACAGAAGGGCAAAATGTGTCGGTGCAGGCCGAAAGGCCTGTTCTTGCGCTGTATTGTTTTTTGTTCCTTAACCGGTTATGTTATATTACATGTCTGGGACTTGAGCCTGGACCTTAAGGCCTGGAAATAGGCTATTTCCACTGCATGACAACAGCCCACTTAAGAGAAGTTCATCTACATTCTACCAATCTTCCATCTTTGATCTAACTCCACCCACACTGTGCTATTTCTACCATGTGAAACAGCACCATGGCATCATTTTAAGATTGCTCCAGGATGGTGAAGCCTTTATGTAGTAAATATTTGTTGGTGATCATTCTGCTTTCCCTATTCATGCCTTTTTTGGTCAAATTTGTTTCTTTACTTGATCTATGATCATTTCCTTTTGCCTTATGCAGTCATCCATTTTGTCATTTAATCTCTCCTGACTTCCAGGCTGATCACAGTTCTTTTGTTGTGTTTTTCTTTCCCTCACCCACACTCTGTTTTTAAACAAAACAGAAAAAGTACTCTCAGTTCCAGAAAATAATCAATGACACTAATTTGTAACATATTTAATGGAAAAGAAGATCCAAAAGCAACTCACAGGACCATCAAAAAACATTTACAAAGAACAGAGCCAAATATAGATAATCCAGGTCAGATGACCAAAGGTTTTATCCAAGATGGTAGGTTAAGGCAATGCCTTATTAAAGGAGAGAAGTAAAAAGGCAGAGAGATGTAGGGAGGAAATTCTTAAGCTTAGTTCATATGTAACCAAAAGTGTGGCCACAAACGGTACAGTAAGATTCTCCACAAATATGACTTGACCTGCTAAATATTCCTCATTAGAACTGTTCATCTTTCTTATAAATCCACTCAAAGCTTTACTGTCCCTCTCTGCCTAACTTCCTCCACCCGTAAATGACTTCAAAAATCAGTGTTGCTGCAACGTGTCATATCACCAATCTCAAACCATTTAATCAATGGCTGCTGTGCTTTCAACTGCCTAATCTTAAAGTCCTGGAATTCCCTCCCTTGCCTTACCACTGCTTCCACATAAAGTCACTTTCGCAGCCTACCTCTATCTGCTCAATGGAGCTTCATGTGTTTCTTTCAAATTTTGTTTGATATGGCCTTTTTCAAGCACTTTGAAAGGTTATGTGACATTATAGGCACCTTAAATAGAAGTGCTGTTGTTGCCAGTTTAGTCTGGAGCTAAAAACTTCATTTGGGTTTATAATTAGTACTTACCATGTCTTCAGACAAAGAGCAAGGATCTGAATTTTCACTCTGGACGGGTATAAAAAAAAGTTGGTTATTTTACAAGGAAATTGAAGGATAACTATACATTTTGCAACCTGACTACTCCCCACATATATCCCATTCCAGGTCAAAATGGATAGCAGCTAAACTATACAATGAATATTAATTCACATGGAGACCATAGCAGTCTTCTTGCAGGAAAACACTTACCCTAATGATTGATGACTCCTCGCGATAAGCCAAGATATATAATAAACACCTTACAATTTAATTCCCATTTTAAATGGTGGAAATGCTTAGTGAATAGTTGCAAAATAGGAGGTGCAATTTACAGTTTGTTCAAAGCTCAGCCAAATGCAAATCAATTACAAACTTAAACCTCCAATATATCTTGCTGCTATAAATGTTTCAATTATTCATTTTGGTCTCAGTATTAAGAAGTCACATACTTTATTACTTGCAAAATGAAGAAAACAGGCTCAAAACAAGGAATAACTTGGCAGTAAACACCCTGAATAAGAACTTCCTTCAATTGTTTACAAAGAAAATCAAGAGTATCATGCTTACTCCAGTTAATCGAGGAAAAGGTAATAATGAAGGCCGAATTCTTAAAAAAGTACACAAAAACATTAAATCACCAAGGACAAAATTCATTAACCTAAAACATTCACAGGAAACATGGAAATAAAAATTTGCCAATTCTAGGCATCATTGAATGCTGCAGAATTACAAGTAGGTTGGCAACAGGTAAATATAATGCTTTATTCAAAGGAGTGAGAAACTAGGTTAAAGGCATAATACTAATCTTAATTACATATAATCACATATATAAAATACTGGAATGAATCAAATTGTAAGCTTGAATTACATGCGCTATATCAAACCCTGACTTCCCTTGAGAAAGTGGCATTCCCTAAGTGGAATATTGTGCTCCAATGACAATTTCCAGAAGGACTTTGACAAAGCTAGCTGTCAAAGCCAATCACTTAGGTTCAACACAAATGAAGATTCAGATAAGAAACTGGCACACGGGTATAAAGTAAGGGATTTTGTTAAAGGAAGGGATTCTTGTTAAAAGGAGTTACATAAAGAGAAGTACTGAAAGGTCACCTAAGGAATCAATGTTAAGAATTTAGAGCAATGATTTCAATTTAGGAATTCAATACAAATGACAAATATTACTGAAACAGGAGAGACAGTGAAATTGGAAACCACGTTCAGAAGTTAAAATAAGCAATGTTATGACAATTACACCTTTTAAAGATATTTAACTACCTTTTTTAATTCAAAGAGAAGTGAAGTAGTTTAGAGAAAAGGGGAAATCTGACCATATACGAAATCCGCCCAGCAACAAACCTTTCTAACCTGCTCATTATAGAGACAGAAACTCAAGTTGAAACTTATTTCAAACTTAGGTACAAGTGTTAACACTTGGACACTGAAGTGGAAGCAACCCACTATGTATAGACTCATACAGGGGCTGAGAGCCTGCAAAAAAAAAAAGGGAAGTGATATTTACAGTAGCTGAAATTTCCAGGTGGAGATCAACTCTGCAGCATGTTTGTCACAAATTGGACCTCACACTGTCTTGTGGCAATTTGTCACTTGTATTACATTTGCAGTGCATCAATAAGCATTAGCATAAAGCTTTCTTGTAAAAAAAATTATCTTGAAGATATAGTCAGCAGCATACAAGAATCTTGAGGCAACAACTTCATGTTGTTTAAACATGGAGTAAAATAGTTTTTGTGCAGTTGTGCCTGAGGTGAGTAGCTTTCCAACTTCAGCCTTGTTGCACAAGGAATGCAAATAGTTTTCATGGAGGCTTGAGATCAGCAAAGATGAATTAGGTGACGCGTAGGGTGTTTTTGGGTGCTGCATGGACCAGAGTCGGGATCCAAAGGAAGAGTGAAGTTAGGTGGCACAGAGGGGTGGAAGAAATTCGTTTTGAACACCTCAGGTATGGCGGGGTCAGTAAAGCTAAGAAAATGATGGGCCCGAAGGGCAGTGTCAGTACTGTTCACAGACAGTCCATCTCAGGCTACTCACTCAATCCTTAAAAAGGGTTTTTGAATTTACAATACTCCCATCACCACCAGATCTTGGCTAATAGCCTTTTCAATGCACAGAAGGGAAGACCAGATAGGACAACAAAACACTCTGTGGGCTGACCGAGTATGTACAACACTGGACATCAAGATGTACATTCAACAAGGAACAAGTATAAATACACAATACAATTTCTTCACAATAAAACAAAGTCCTCAACTTCCAACAACCATAAATGCATGTCAACCATCAGTTGTACCAGTATATTTAGCTCTCTGGCTAAGCAAGTCTCAACAAATCATAATTATGCACATATGGATGAAGTAAGATCAATACAAATTTGAAGAACTTCATATTCCCAATATGTTTGATGTTAATTGCATGGAGTTGCACAGTAAAGTGGAGTGTGATACATCCTGCTTATCCAGGAGGCTTTTCTATTGCTCACGTATACGTGCTGCACTGTCAGCTGACATGTTTCCCCATGGAAAATCTTCCTGTCATGTGATCAGGCATGTGGGAGGGGATGGCATAAAGATATTGTCGCTGGATGAGTAATCCAAAGATTCAGGCAACATTCAGGTGATCCGGGTCCAAAACCCAACAGGTGAGGAATTTGAATTCAGTAACAATCTGGAATTAGAAGTCTAATGATGACCAGGAGAATACTGACAATTTTGTTCAATAACATCCTTTAGGTGAGAAACTGCCACCCTTACCTGGTTTGGCCTACATGTGATTTCAGAACCACTGCAATGTAGTTGACTCCGAAATGGTCTAGCAAACCATTGAACTATATACACTGCTAAAGAGTTTTAAAAAAGTGACAAACCAGACAGACTACCCACATTGAGTAAAGCACTACAAATGAGAGAAAACTCAGTCCTGTTGACCCTGCAAAGTGCTCCTTCCCAACAGGAGGGCGACAGCCAAATTTTGGGGGAGCAGTCTACAACTAGTCAAGTAACATATGACCAAAATCACAGTCAAGATGTCATACCTTACACACAGCATCCTAGACAACACCATCAGCATTCCACCATATGCCCAGTCTGCTGACAAAACAGACCCACAACAGAGGTTGCGGCACAGTGATACAGAGTCAGGAATGAGCTGCTTGGGAGTCCTCAGCATCAACTCTGGATCACAATATCATGTGGCATCAGGTCAATAGGGTCAAGAAAACCTCTGGATGACAGATATTTACTACAAACCACTATAGCTGGTGAATCAGTATTCTCATGGTGGAAGCATGAAGGGTGGCAAGACAGAATATACTCTGGGTAGGTGACAGCACTAACGGTGGCTCAGCAGCATCATTACTGACCAGCTGGTTAAACACTAAAGGGCAGAGCAGTAAAACTGGTTTTGTGGCATGTAGTGAGGAAATTAAGATGGAAAAAATGCACTTGACCTCATCCTCAGACTGCCGAGTCCCTGAGAAGACCAAATTCCATCTTCACTTGATGATAGTGTCACACAACGTGATAGTGGCTATCAGCATGGTAAATAGAATAGATTTCAAACAGATCTAGCAATTCAGAACTGTATATCCTTGAAGCACTGTGGGCAATCAGCAAAAGAGCTGCTCCTTTAAGTAATCTGCAACCTGATGACCCAGCATATTCCCCACTTTGCGATTACAATTAAGCTAGGGGATCAGGGCAACATACCAGGAGCTAATCTCAGTGTACCAAAGAATGAGGTGTCAACCTAAAGAAGCTACAAAACAGGACCATTACATGCCAAACTTTGTTAGCAGCATATGGACTGCTAATGAGTAGGTGATTCCACAATCAACAGATCATATCAAGTGCTGCAGTCCTGCCACATCCAGTCATGAATAGTGGCAAACTATTAAATAACTCATTGGAAGAGGGTGCTCCACAAATATCCCCATCCTCAATAAAGCAGGAGCTAACCACAATGGTGCAGAAGATAATGCTGGTGCATTTGCAACAACGGTCAGCCAGAAATGTTAACTGGATGTTTCACCTCTGCTTCCTCCAGTGGTCTCCAACATCACAAATGCCACTGCACGTTAAAAAAAAAAAAATCAAGAAATGGCAGGAGTGAGAGAATACTACAAAGGCTACAAGCTCTGCAATTGCAGTGAAGAGGTGCACTCCAGAACCTGCTGCACCCCTAGCCAAGCTGTTCCAATGAGGCTACAACACTAGCATCTAAACAACATGGAAAGCTGACCAGGTATGTCCTGTACAAAACAGGACAAATCCAACCTGGACAAATAAAACCCCACCAGGACCACTCAGCAGCTGACCCCCTGCAACCTTAATTCAAATAATGGACAAGAGTTGAATTCCAGAGGTGAGGCAAAACTGACTGCCCTTGACATCAAGGCTGCATTTGATAGAATTTGGCATCAAGCAACACTAGCACTATTAGAAAGTGGGAATCAGAGCGAACCTCTCTGCTGGCTGGAGTCATATCTGGTACAAAACAAGTTGGCTATTGTTATCGGAAGTCAATTCTCTCAGCACAGGGACATCTCTGCAGGAATTCCTCAGCGTTTTGTTCTAAGGCCAAACATCATCTGTGCTTCATCAATGACCTACCCTCCATCATAAAAGGTCAGAAGAAGTGAGGATAATAATTACACAGTGCTCAGCACAATGTTGGACTCCTCAGATTCTGAACAGGTCCATGTCCAAATGCAGCCAGGTGCAGACAAAAATCCAGATGATGGATGACAGTCAGCAAGTGCCAAGCAATGATCATTTCCAACAAGAGACAGTCAATGGCACAGCCATCACTGAATCTCTGACTGACATCATACTGGGGTTACCACTGACGAAAAATTTAATTAGTCTAGCTACATTAATACTGTGGCTTCAAGAGTATGTCAAAAATCAAGGAATATATTGCAGCTGCTAACTGACCAAGTCCCCAAAGCTTGTCCATCATATACAAGGCCCATGACAGCAGTATGATAGAATACCTGCCTGGATGAGTGCAAA